ATTTAACCAACACTAGATTTATAAGCTTACTTGAACATATTAAAAAATTATATACTAAACTACTTACCAACCGTCTTAACTATATCTTTACTAAACACTCAATCCTTTTCCCTTACAATTATATTGCACTTTCTGGTAATAGTACCGCTATACCTATACACATCCTCAATAATATTATTAAAGATGCTTTATGTAACTCCAAAGTACTCTGGCTTATATCTCAGAATATGAGCAAAGTATATGATTTTATCAACCTTAACCTTTTTAAAAAATCTCTTATACGCATCTGCATGCCTTCTAAACTTATTAATATACTTACTAACCTCCTTGCAAACCATCACAACAGAGTAATCACAAATCTAGACCTTACTAAGAATTACCAAGTTAAAAATGGCATAGACCAAGAAGAGACTATAACTCCACTATTTTGGAGAATCTACTATGATCCTTTAATTTATAAAGTTGCATCCTGTTATACAGGATACACCCTATCGACAACCTGGTATACAAACTTACACTCTACATCTAAACAACATACTCAAGCCTCAATATCCATACTAGTATATATGGATGACATGCTATAGATTGCTCAGAACAAAGCAGAAATAGAACAAATTATACAAACTGATATGTCATTTTACCAGATGGCTAATTTACAAATCAATCTATCTAAATTAGTATTTGTCACAAACTATAAACCTACTTCAATCTCTTTCATTAACTATATCCTTAACTCGATACTAATTAATCAGCCTTTCAAATATTTGGGATGTTAGTTCACATTCAACAATAAGCAAAATAAACAAATCAAACTCATACAAGATGAAACTTTTCAGCTAACTTACACTGCAAGTACTAAAAAGATCACAGATAAACAAATAATCTATATTATCAATACAGTCATAATACCAACTTTAGAATATAGATTATATAATATAGTACTATCTTGAACTATATGCAACAAAATTCTAGCCAAATACCTTACTGTAGCCAAACACAAATCCAATCTTTCAAGATCTATTTCCAATAGTACTATGCTTAACCCATACCTATATAATGTCTGCAATATTTGGGATATACAACTACAACACCATATCACAAACTTTCACTTACGTATTAATGACCTCCACCTGCTAGATATTACAACTTGTATAAGATTACAACAACTACAAAACAATTTGTAATCTAGTACAAATATACTTTAATATCCTAACCCAATTATTAATGGACCAAACAAATCTACTTTGAATTATAAAATTATTTAACTTCTTTTTTATCTAAAAATTAGCTTAACAGCTAATCCTAATTTCATATGTCTCTAAACAATCAACTATAACTTACATCCTCTTGAACAAATCCCACACCAACACCCAAAATATAATACTTTCAAACAACAACTCAGAAAACTACAACTATTATATTTTGAACAACTGTGCATAGCAGATAATACACATCTTCTAGACTGGCAACATCTTTCACCCAGACTTAAACATATACCTAGAGATAGATTATCTCTATGGTTTAGCATACTAGAAAATTTAGTTCTTGAATACAAAAACAGCTGTATTCTATATTCTCAATACCAACAAATCAAAACTAATATCTTTGCTCTCAGTATCTATAATATTTCCAAAAAATCTAAACCATGGGCAATCACACTTAAAAACAATGAAATTATCTTTAGCAAAATCTGCAAAACATACTCAGAAACTAAAGAATTCTCAATCATACACTGGCAAGCAGACTTTAATCTAAACACCACTAACTGTTTTTCACTCTTACCCATTAACTGCACACCTTGTCCAGGGTGTCATCTCAATTCAAACAGAATCAGAACTGTCTGCACCCTAAACATATCAGCCATTACATCCACACAGTTCTTTGGAAGAACTTATCTAAACAACTTCAAATTTAATGCTAACTATATAGATCTTATTTCCTCCACTACAATTAAGCACCTACTACAGAATATTACTCTCCCTACACTACCTACCATTTTTATATCAGCTTCAATTGCTACCTTAATTTTCCAAGCTAGTAATGCAACATCTAAACTTGAAGCCATAGCTATCAACAACTATAATCTTGAAGTCATAAACTTTTATACTGATGGATCAGTTATTAACATTAGTACTAAATACTGTACTATGGATATAGATTGGGTCCAAGTAAATAACAACAATCAAATCTTATCACAATTTAATGCTCAAGTTGAATTCTGGGCATCATCATACAAAGCTGAACTCTTTGCTATACTGGCAGCTATTTCAACAGCTCCATATAACTTAACTATTAAGATTTATACAGACTCTCAATCCATCATTTCTAAATATAACAAACTTCATTCTCCTATATTTAATCTAAACAAACTTTTTAAATTTAATGCTTGGCTATTATGGCATACTCTTCTTAATATTATTAAATCATACAAAATTAAAATAGCTTTCTACAAAGTTCAGGCCCACACAGACAACACTCTTAATAATCTATCAGACTTATTAGCTAAACAACATACAACAGCATCTAAACTTAGCTTTCATTATACCAATATCTACAACCCCTATCATCTTTTACAATACGATGATGAAAAGTTTGCTGTTGAGCTTCTAACTCAGCATTTCATCAAAACTATTGATAAAGCATACATTCTTGTGATGTGATTATCACAACAACAGAATGAAAAGTGGTTGCAAACCAATGATAAAATAGACTAGAGATCAACCTGGCTATTCTTTAATTATAATCATAAACCTACTCACAACATTACTAACTTTAAACTTAATCAAATCAAATCCTTCAAAATTAAAACACTACTTAATGAACTACTCACTTATTTCCTTCATTACAAACTTTATCCTTCAATTTTTAATAATGCTAATTGCTTTTTTATTGTGGAACATCAGACTCATCATCACATTGGCATATTTGTACTAGTCTTACTTTACTTAATAGTATTATTTCTACTACTATTAACAATTACTTTATATCAGAGTGTGGCGACTTAGTAAAGTGGTGAAGTTGTTGCACCTCCAAGCGGCAGAAACAGAGTTTGAATCCTATTGGTGACAAAAAATTCGAATTTTCAGTACAGTATTACAGCAGACTGTGTGTAAACGGATAGATCGATATCTGTAATCTGGTTATACCAGCTCATACTGGAAGGCTGTAGAACAATAGTATAATATATAAGTTATATGAAACCTGAGTGAAGCGGCTGTGTAAATCCAGAGTTGGTGCATATGGAAGCCCGCTTGACAAGACCTGAGTAGAGAGGTAGTACAGATCTTTGATGGTACTATGTAAAGGATTATTAACCAGAAACTGGAGAACCGAACGGGACCGAAGTGTTTGGCAAAGCACTCTATCAACCAGGCTGCTGGAGAGTAACCGGAGGAAAAGGACCTAACCATAGGGACTAGGAGCAGGTTACAGCCCTTCCAGGCCATCTGGATTAGAAGTTTGGGGCAATGAGTGTATGGTGGATAGTCTGTATAGTGGATGCTGAGATCTGAGTGAACTCTATAAAGGTGTAGAGGTAACGGTAGCAGCTTCGGCTCGCAAGTACTTGGTCTCAGCCTAGATGTAAGTTACCGAAGTAGACTAGGTAATACAGTATAATAGGACTGGACTGCTCTAGCAGGTGATGCACTTGAGAATGAATCAATTAATCATGCTGGTAGTCCTATAGATAGCACACGATGATCTTGGAACTTGGACTAACTTATATATCACATGTTCCAGGTAAGATTAGATGGATTGGCAGAAAAACTCAGATCAGAGGATTTAATTGGATAACTCAAGTAATAGTGGGTTATAGGTACGGCATCTAATGTAGAATCTAGTAATAGGTAGATACTTAATTAGATGCTCAAAAGGCGCAGGTATAGCTAGAATATATCCTTGTCAGAATATACTTGTTTGGGGTCCCTTTGAAAAGAACACCACATGATTCTATAAAGTCTAATAAAAGTGGAAAGCCAAAGAGGCTAACCTTAACTACAAAAAAAAAAAAACAATTATTTTACATCACTTGAGCTAGATCTCTTTTCGTCTCAAATAGATGAACTTATTTATAAAATCCAAACCACGAAGCATTCAGTCCTATAGCATTACAACCCTCTTCTCCTACTTAGAACTTACACTTAAAGAATTAATCTCTAATTCAATTATTCAAACATTACAAGACTTCAATATTCCTTACAAACCAGCCTCAAACAGTATCATTGAACTTCTACCTAAAATTAATGAAAAAATATATAATCAAATTTGAAAACCATACTGTATTAATTTTTCTAACTGGAGAAAACACCACGAACTAACTTATCCCTATACTTCACGCATTAATACATCATTAAATTTTAATAATCACAACCTCACTTATAGAAATCATACATACTCTTGCATATGAGTGACAATCTGTGAAAACCTGTAAATCGATTCACAATCATTCACTTTAGCGAACTTGACCCCTGACAAATCTGATCTCACATGATCAATTACGATTAATTCTAGAAATTTCGGTAACATATTTGTACTAATACTTTTACTTAGATATGTATTGGTATTAAATAATAAATAATTCGCATTTTTTATTTAAAGTATAAAAATTTTTTTATTAGATACTAGTATAAATTAATTTAAATATTTATTTTTTTTTATATATTTGCTTTCCATGTTTCTTAACCCTTTCTATTACATCGTCCTTCGGCTTTGGACAAAGCTTATCCCGAAAAGCAATTGGGCAGTATTTTATAATATCATTTCAGAAGTTTATATGTTTTTCTTCTAGAAGACCTTTTGGTTGAAGTTCTTGTGAATTAAGACTTCTTATATTGGCATTTCGCTTTAGTAAGTAAAATTCATCACAAGAGTCATTAATTCTTACTTTAGCACTTATAATACTAGGCTTATCATAACTAAAACAAAAAAGTGATACTTTTGAATAGCAGGTAGTTTTCAGTATAGCTTACTAAGTGCTGATGTCTAATCTCGAAATAGACCTATTTGGTCTTCTAGATTTACAGAAATATTATTTTTAGCACTATCATTAATTACGTTGACTAATTGATCAATACACCAAATTTCTGATTTGGTGTAATATCATTTTGTAAGACCAAAACCTCTATCAACAGAATTCCTAGTATGACCTTTAATTTGAAAACTATACTCAATTTTTTGAAAAAATTGAATATCGCATGCCCAAAGAAAATACCAAAGGAGACACGAATTTTTATTTTGACCGCTACAATTGTCAGCCCACAATCTGATCTCCTTTGCATCGTCTGCAATAATAAATAGATTAATTAATATTAGTTACCAAATTTTTAAAAGCAATTACAATTAACCCTAGAGGTACTGAATCTTTCTATAATTAACTTCGGATATAATAAACTCTGGATACATATAACGAACTCAAAAATTTGAAATTTCATAATAATTCAGTATCGACGAAAATTTTTTGAATGATTTTGATTACTAACCTGTGGCAGAAGTAAGGAACAAATGCACTATAGAAGCAACTTCATTAGTTCCTTTTGATGCTTTACCTTCCGAATAAAGTGCATGCCAATAAATATCAGTACCTTTGTCCACTATGCCAAACTAGTGAATCTTTAATAATGACTTAAAATACTAACTTCTAGGTTGCTGGGGTTGTGAGGTATGTCCACATTTTGTGAAAAATTGAAAGAAAAAACACGGAATGATGACTGATCACCTTTTTTTGCTATTTGTATATCATCTTCATAGGCCTCTCTCATCATTCTATAATCTAACATATGCATTGCAAACTGTTCATCAAGAGTTTCATCTATATAATTGTCACACTCTTTTATTGCATGTTTAAATAGAATGCATTCATCGCATACATCCTTGGATGGCTTTCTAATTATAATTTTTTGAAGTTCAGCATCACGTTTCCATATTCGTTGAAAAGAACTATAGCTAACATATTTTTCCAGATTCATTAAGTTATAAGTAGTATGAAGACGATTACAAGAATAATGAGAAGGAAGAAGAACAAGGTCATGTTTTTTATAAGTTACTGTTATTTCACCATTTGTTATTTTTGTATATATTTTCTGATAGCGATTGCCTCACCATGTGATTGTTCAATTAATTTTATAAAAGATTTTACTTCATTACATGTCTCATTAGGTAATGTATGCTTAGGTTGACGACCAATATTACCATGGGGTCGGGGAAGCATTGATCGATGTTCAAGAGCCCACCTACAGTATTAAAATCAAAAGAATAAAGAATATTAATTAAAATAGAATAAAATAATTAAAAGAAAAAAAAGGACATTTGACTATATTAAATTATCAAAACTAATCTACGGAGACAATAAAAAGCATCCCTGCCACATATTCAGAATGTTCTAAAGAAAAGAGAACAAATTTCACCAAAGTATGGTAGATGATATTTTTTAATATTGAATGTTGGTTGGGCTGTCTGTTATCCTGTTTGTTATTATAAGCAGTCATAAGTATCATTATTGAACAACATCGCTATTTCTTATCCATTTTAAGGACTTCTAGCATCAAGGATTGAAGTAGGTTTGATGAAACTTTTTCACTACATCTCTTTACACATGAACATTGTATAAGTCGATTAACCAATTCATTTACAGCAACCCGGTTATCATCTGGAATCTGCACAATATCCTCAGATTCGCTATCCATAATTTCCTTATCTGTAGTGCTCCAATCGTTTGAGTCTGATTCTGGTTCTTCAAGTTCAAAGCTTATATTCTCTTCATCACTAGAATCTAACTTAATTAAGGTAAATTCTAAGGTATCAAGAAATGGTTCTGAGTAGTGTTTTGACCCGGGTGGGTCTTACCCGGGTCACCCGCGGGTGGGTGGGTCACCCGGGTTGAGTTATAACAACCCGGGTAGCCAACCCACGGGTTGACCATGGGTTGACCCGTGGGTCATAGGTATGATTGGTTGATATAAATCAGTTGACTGAATAACTAATTTATATAGTTTAAAGTACTTTTTAGAAATGTAACGTTTCACTAACAAAAAATCATTGTAA